GCAGCCCCTTCACTTCTACAATATGGCATATAGCTTCCCTTATCTTCGTAATAAGGGTGCAGTCTAGGGAGACTGCAGGCCTCAATGTGCCATGTTCTATTTTGATCTGAATGGCCTCTGTTTGCATCAGAGCAGTGTATTGTATGTTGGGTCTATTATATGCACTGCAGATGAGTGTGGCTGCAATCTGGTCAATTTCTATAAACGTGGTGAGTCCCTTGGGCTCTAGCAAATTGCCAAGGTGACCCTTGACTGGGCAAAAGTATATGCTGTGCCTGCCTCATATTTAAAAAAACAACAGCACCTTCACCATCATTTTGTAGCTTGTACAGGGTATTTGGAAGTGTTTTGTATCATCTATATAATAAGAGTCCAGGAATCTCACTCTGTGTATCACTTAAAGCCTATTATCTCTATACAGTCAGTGTGAAGCAACAGAAGCAGCTACAAGCATAGTTGAGGCTCTTTTTGTCCAGAATATCACCAGGTTAAATCATCACTGGATTTTGCAGTCTGTTACAGTCTAACTTTTACATTCTCAGCCATTTTGACTTAGTGAATTATACCTGTGCAATGTACAGCAGCTACAGTAGGGCATGCATCTATGCCACGCCAGAGCCTTAGACCATTGTGATAGCAGAGGTAACTCAACCAATCACCTTACTCTGCAGCCAATTTGTATGCAACAGTTTCATTGGTCGTATGAGGGAGACTGCACAGATGGTTGATTACTTAGCCCAGCTGCTACAGTTCTTCAAAACCACCCACACCATAACACAATCAGCACACACAATCACCCCAAATATGCATAGCCCATCATGCAGCAAATACCCCTCGTTTGCCACCCGCACAAATCTCCCAGGATTATCACTGGGTCTGTGTGTCATTCGGACACCTGGAATGTCTGTTGAGTCAGTATGAAGTGATGGAAACAGCTATATGCATGGTTGAGAATTCTTTTTGCTTAGCATATCACCACGTTCAATCATCACTAGACCCTTTGAGAATCAGAAGGACTGTTGTAGTCCAAAGGTTCTGTGGCAGTTTGCATGCGACTTGTAACAGTTGATCAGAAGAGACAGGAACAACAGCTATGCGGGATAACAAAGAGGGGATTGTGCCTTCAGCAAGGGGGCAGCTCTGTGCATAAACTTTGGGGAATATGTACAAACAGCAATATTGCTCGCTACAACACAGTGCATGGAAACAAAAGCCCCAAAATACTACCTATGTGGCTTTACTGCCGCTGTATATAATTTCCTGTTCACAAATACATACTGGCCTATCTTGATTATCACTTCAAAAATTTTTTTCTCTTACTTAATTGGCCTCTCAGAGTTGGTAAGACAACTCCCACCTGTTCATGCTCTCTGTATGTGTGTATATATATCTCCTTAATATATGTTCCACTCCATATGCATCCGAAGAAGTGGGCTGTAGCCCACGAAAGCTTATGCTCTAATAAATTTGTTAGTCTCTAAGGTGCCACAAGTACTCCCGTTCTTTTTGCGGATACAGACTAACACGGCTGCTACTCTGAAACCTGTCATTGTGGGTTGTGTTAGCATGTTTACTGCTGGGTGTTTTGAGATCATGTTTACTGCTATGGTGTTCAGTGATATAGTACATATACTGGTAAAGTAACTCCTCACTTAACGTTGTAGTTATGTTCCTGAAAAATGCTACTTTAAGCGAAACGATATTAAGCTAATCCAATTTCCCCATAAGAATTAATGTAAATAAGGAGGTTAGGTTCCAGGGAAATGTTTTTTGCTAGACAAAAGAAAGGGACTCCACTCCATATCATATGCTCAGTTCAGCTGCAAGAAATCAATGTCTCTCTCTGGATGTGGGAAAAGCCCTAGACTGAGCTGAATGGAACTATTCGTCATAGAGGGAAATGGTTTTGGCTCCAATTTTTTTTTCAATTGGACCAGATTTGGCACTTTGGGTCAAATTCTGACCCAGAATAAACAAAGTGCTTCTCCACTGATTGTAGTGCATTTGCATCTAGTAACACAAGATATGAATTTGGTCTTTTATGAATCCATTTTGACATAAAATCTATGTAATTGTATTATGTTCTCTTGATGTTAGAAATAGGATCTGTTTATATAGTTACTTATACAACCCCATCACTGTAGTATCTGAGTGTTTCCCAAGTTTATAACAATAGCAAGTACACCGCTACCTTGATATAACGTGACCCGATATAACATGAATTCGGATATAACGTGGTAAAGCAGTGCTCTGGGGGGGGGGGGGGCTGCGCACTCTGGTGTATCAAAGCAAGTTCAATATAACGCGGTTTCACCTATAATGCGGTAAGATTTTTTGGCTCCCGAGGACAGCGTTATATCGAGGTAGAGGTGTACCACAATCAATAAAAATAAACAGCTGCAGCACTAGAGACAATGTATGAAAAGTAGTCTATCAATCCCTCTGGAGTAATCTCATTCTATAACACTAAAAGGTGTAAAAACTGCTAGGCTAAACTATTAGATAATTTTAATAGGTTACATTCCCTTACACCCAGTTTGGGCTGAACCACTCCCAGGTGCTGAGTCCCCTCAACTCACATTTGATTTCAGTGTTCTTCACAGGATCTGGTCCATTAGTATTTCCAGATTCTTAGATATTTAACTTTTGCTTGAGTCCACATGGAGGATTATTATTAAGTTGTACAATAGCTCCATACTTAGAATGTTAGTTAGGCGTTTATACGATAGGTAGTACTTATGGGAAAACATTTCCACAATCGAAGAGGATAAAATATGTGTGAAACTGACAAAGTATAAAGCCTTTTTTATAGCTTGACTTTTCCAGCCAGACACTAGATTAAATTGTTTCACCTGACAACTCAGACTTACTTTCTCTGCACTGTACTACTGTAGGTTTTGTTCAGACATTACTACACAGAAGTTTGCACTGCATTTATATCTTGGAGAATATGTTGAACTTGCAGTGCCAAGAACTGCTTGTTCTATTCTGTGTGTACAGGATTTCTATTGCACACAGCAGGTTTGTCTATCTGGAATAAATTTGTGAGTAGTTACAATTTTTTTCTGGGTTTATTTGTACATTTTTATATACCGTTTGCTTTTAAAACCCAACAAGAGTTATTGACAATAAAACAGGAGATTAAATTTTCTAACATCAAGCTTGGAAATATTAATAACATTCACAGGGATTTATAGTGTATATCTTTATAAGCAAAAAGCCACTTTCAAATCACTTGTATATAACATGGTGTATATTACCGACCTGTGACAAAAGATAGACATTATGTAACTACCATATGCAAAGGAAACATATGAACCAAACTTAATTTAATGCTAAGACCTCTTGTTGGCTTGTATTAAATTAAGTGGAGCTCTTTGCAGGATCAGGACCTTACTTTCCTGCATGTATTTTCATTTTTGCTTGGGCTGGATATATTTTCTGGATCCAAAACAGATTCTGTTAACATTGGAATCAAAGGACAGTCTTAGCGAAAACAGGCTTCAATATCCTTAGTTTGCAGTTTCAGTATCTTTATTTCATAGTATTCTGAGCCACCATAAGAATCTCTAACATTTTTAATTAAATACTTGTTTCCCTTTGATTCTCGAACATTTTGCACTTGCAGTATATAGAGCCTGTTACCTGAGGCTCATAGGAAATGTAGAAATTGTCATACTGGATCAGATCAGCAGTCCATCTGGCCCAAGATCTTATCTCTGGCAGTGGCCAGAACCAGATGCTTCAGAGGATGGCATAAGAAGCCTGCAGTAAGCATATATAGGATAATCTGTTCTGGCCTCCCCACCTACATCTCATCCTGATCTCTAATAGAGATTGGTTTAAGACCTGCAATACAAGGCTTAATATGGCTTCCAAAACTTTTGTCAATACTTATAACTCTGGATTTTTTTGATTGGCTATTCATATGGCTAGCTCTTTTTTAATCTTAAATTATTTGGCTCCCAAGGTGCTTTATTAATATTAATTAACTTCACAATATCCCTGTGAAGAAGACAGGCAAGTAGTCTAATTCCCATTTTACAGATGAGGAAACTGACATGAGGGAGGTATTAGATGAGAAAATGATTTTCAGCACTAAAATATACACTGCTTGTAGTACACAAACATGACAATGTGGGTTAAACTGCTCATATGCAAGATGCAAGGCAGTCCTGGGATTTTTCAAAAGCACCCTAAGGAGTCACATGCCCATTTCCCATTGAAAGTAACTGGAGCTGGTTGCCTAATTCCCATTAGTACCTTTAAAAATCTCCTTTTCTACAAGTGTAGAACAGAGAACTGCAGCGCATCCTTCCCTACGCTGGCTATGCTGATGCAGGCCAGAGAAATCCAAAATACTCATGCTGTGCTACCACAAGTCAGAGCAAGCAACCCCTTTAATATACGGTGTGTTATACCAGTGAGCTACTGCCAATATATGTATATGTCCCCCCCTCTCATACACATCAGGTAGTGCCCCTTCCTGGGTGCATGTCACAACATATAAACACCCCATTATGTCATGCCAGTTCAGTATACAACCTATGCTACTGCAGTCCCCACATATATCCTAGGACAGCCCTCCACCCCCTTCCCCCCCCCAGGGCAGCTCCCCCTGGTCCTAGTATACAGTGTCCCAGGACAACAGCCCCCACTCCACCCCAGTGTATAACCTCCTAGAGCAGCCCCTCCCCCCGTGTTTACCATCCCAGAGCCGCGGCCACCCCAATGTACGACCCAGAGCAAACCCCCCCCCGTACACCGTGACCCCCCCGCTCGAGAAGCTCCCCCAGTGTAACCACACCAGGCCAACTCCACGCGTGTTTACCGCCCCCCCCGCAACTCCTGCCCCAGCGCACCCCCCGCAGCGCTCAGCCCCACCCCGGGGGCGGCCCTTCGGGGAGGCAGGCCGAGGCCCCGGCCCTAGGCCCATCCCTTGAAGGGGCGGCCCGACCCCGACGCAGGCCGAGGGGCAGGGCCTCGGCCGGCTGCTCTCACTCGGCGCCGCCATGCCCAAGGTGGTGTCCCGCTCCGTGGTCTGCTCCGACACCCGGGACCGCGAGGAGTACGATGATGGCGAGAAGCCGCTGCACGTTTACTACTGTCTGTGCGGCCAGATGGTGCTGGTGCTGGGTGAGCCGGGCGGGCCGCCCGCCGCGGAGCGGCTGGGCCCTGGGGCAGGGACCCGGGCGGCTGGGCCCTGGGATCCGTCGGGAGGGAGCAGCTGGGGCCTGGAGGCAGGGACCCGTGGGGAGGGGGCAGCTGGGGGTGGGGAGGGACCAAGGAAAGGGACCTTAGTCTTGGCTGAGTCCCTATAGATCCCCGAAGGCCAGAGGCTGGGATGACAGCTGAGTGTGGGGTCTTGTTCCGTGGGTCAGTTTGTGGGTCACAGGTGGGAGGGGATGTTGGGCATCCCTGGGGACTGGGAAGATTTTCAGATGACATGGACACCTCCCTTGCACTTCAGAATGTGCCTGTGATGCACCAGCTGACCCAGTGGCCTCCCACCACCTTATGACAGTGGGGTCCCTGAGAAAATCTGAGTGGGAAGTAGCTCTGCCTTCTGGCCTTTATTCCTGGCCCTGCCATTCTCTCCCTTCACGGTCTTGGACAAGTCACTTTCCCTGCACTTCAGTTTCCCCATCTGCAAAGCGGGAGGGATAAAGCTTCCATAGATCCCCTGGGGAGGGCTGAGAGACTAAATTAACTGATTTGAGATTCTCTGAGTGTAAAGGGATGGTAGAGTTCTCTGATCACAGCACTAGGAGTGCCTGAGTCCTCAGACCATCTCGTACTAATTTAAACCAGGTACTTCAGTTTTCTGGGCCTTAATGTTTGTTCAGTGCTTTGGATATGTAAAGTGCTACAGAGTTGCTAACATTATTAAGTTTGTCACCACTCTGCAGCATCTCTTGGAGTCCAAAGTTTCTTAAATCCTTGTGTTGGGATCACTTTTTTTTTTTTTCCTGTCTTCCCCTCCATCCTTAATGAGGCTGTGTTGTGATAGAGTTTGCTCATTACGGAGCCCGATGGAAGGAGAAGAAATGTGGTACTGTAATGTTGGGCACTCTTCTTGTGCCTGGACTTTGATCAGTTAGGTTGCTAAACCACTCAACGTTTATGTCACCAGGAGTTCATGCAGAAGTCTAACAGAGTGGACCAATGCTTTTGTGTGGCTGTTTTTCAGTGTGTGTGGGTGGTGGGGAGATAATGAGGTGTTTAAAGCAAATGTATGACTGAAGAAAGTCACTAGGTGTTCACCCCCCCCCGCCCCAAAAGGGCCCTTCAAATTTTGTCTCTCCATCTCAGATGAACACTCCTGACAATCAGAACTCCCTCCCCTAGCGATGGATCTGAATCTGCATTATACAACAGCCTCTCTCTTCACTTCTGCAGACTGTCAGCTGGAGAAGCTGCCCATGAGGCCTCGAGACAGAGCTCGGGTGATTGATGCAGCCAAACATGCCCATAAATTCTGTAACACAGAGGAGGAGGAAAATGTTTATCTCAGAAGGTAGGAAACCTTCTCTTCCTCCATTGGCTTCCTTGACAGTTGCTGTGATAATATCACTCTTTGTGCTCCAAATTTTTGGATGAAAATAACTCCTAAAATTGGTAACCTGAGTACCGCTAAATCTGAAGTCATTAACACTGTCATCAGCTCATTTGCTGGTATTAAAGAGACATGGTCAGCTTCCAAGAAGCTTGGACTGCCAGCACCCCTGTTGTTGGATTTCTGATAAAAGGAGGCCATTGAGAGCCTATTGTAAATCACTTTTATAAACACATTGGTCACTGCAATACAGAGTTGACAGGTTAAAGTGCAGCCTATTTGGGGACGGGGACCTTGTGCTTTGTTTTCCTCTTCTCTTGGATTTTAGGTAAATTACAGCACTCCAGTTTCCTAGTCTTGCTGTGAGTTTTAACTCTGTTTGGGAATATTAGTATTAAAAATCTCGTACACATTTACATGGCCCTTTACAACATACCATAGACTGAGACACATTCTCTGACCCAAAGAATTTACAGTCTGAGAGAGAAGACTAAAGGCTTGTCTGTATGGACAGTTAGGTTGTGGCAAGCTGGCCTGTGAATCTATCCACAGTAGTCAGAGGTTCGCAAATTGTCCATGTGGATCCTGCTGCCATGCACTGAAAGTTCTGTAGTGTGTTTGGCTCTACTCTCGTTTCAAAATGGGGCAGCAGGGTCCACAGAGTCAATTTGTGCACAGCAGGTTAGTGTGGGGTAGATTTAGACCCCAGTTTGCTGTGAACTAAGTGCTTATATAGACAAGCCCCAAGACAAAACAGAACAACAGCTCAAGTAAGGAAGGATGTTGAGATTTCATTAGGGATAAAATCAAGGTAGCAAGCCTTTCTTGAAGAAAAATCTTTTAAAAAGGGGTTTAAAAGAAAAGGTGTCTTTGCCCTGGGCCTTCCACTACGGTCTGTTGTTGTGATGTGGCTTCCTGCCTTCTCTACTCCTCCAGCAATTCTAGTTTTATGCCCCATTCATGATCTCTTTCCCCCATGTCTCTTTTAGTTGGTGTCCAGAATGAGACTATGTATTACACCTTTATGGACACCTAATGAATTGTAGATCTGTTAGGTATACACAACACCCAAGCCACTATCTCACTGCTCATTCAGAATTATTTCTGTTTACTCTTAGGTGTTTCTAATGCACTCTCCTCCTTAATATTTCTAGACAGCAGTAGCTGATGCCTTTCCATTTTTCTGTAAATTCTCTCTTTCTCCCCCAGACCTGAAGGTATTGAGCGGCAGTACAGGAAGAAGTGTGGGAAGTAAGTGTCAGCAGAGCAAATCATTTCAGCATAAGAGATGCTTGTTTTTTATTTTTCATTGTGTGTCACGCCCCCTTAGAAATAACATTTCTTCTTGTCAGAGTAGCTGCTGGAGACAGGAGATTTTTGACTGGTGTGATGCGATGGGGGTATTAACATTTTGTTATCCTGATCCTGGTCAAGTAGCTGGGGCCAGAATATAAAGACCAGGCTTTTACCAGCACTCCCATTTGTCACAATTTTATTGCACTTTTCATTTTTGTTGCATTTTTCAATTTGGCAGCTCAGGAAAGCAGGGAGAGAGTTGGGTACGTATCACATAATGGAAGGAAAGACAAGACCGTATTATAAAATGGGCTTTTGAGAAAATCTGTGGCTCTTCACCTGTTGACATTCTAATGTTTGGTCTGTGATCTGTCTCCTTTGATGATCGGTTACCCGAAAAGAAGTTCCAGCCTGTACAAAAAAGCTAATTAGCTACATGGTCACTGGACTAGTTTGTGGTACAGGCTGTTTTTAAAGCTCGTTTGGTAAATAAACTACAACCAAGGCCTCTGCGCATGAGACTGAGATCTGCACTCTTTCACCAGTAGATGTGTTATTGTTTCCAGGTGTGGACTTCTGCTCTTCTACCAGCACCAGCAGAAGAATGCCCCAGTTACCTTCATTGTCGATGGAGCTGTGGTCAAATTTGGCCAGGGTTTTGGGAAAACAAACATATACACTCAGAAACAGGAACCTCCCAAAAAGGTAAATAGGCTTAGATGAGTTACAAAGCTATCTTTGCCTTTTGAAAGGGTGTGGATAGACAAAATGACTTAAGAGGTCTGGTAGTCTCTGCTAGAATGCCTGGCCCCTGTGCCATGTCACTCTAACGATCCCTTCTAGTTTACCTGAAATAGTGGTGTTGACTGCATTCAACTTCTGCCAAGGAAGACCAACATGAAGTTTTTTGAAACCGGAGGACAGAGGAATAAGGGTGGGAAGGGATCCCAGCACCTGTTAGATCTTTGGCCCAAGCAACCTAGAAGATCCATTTGAAAACATCTCAGACTCGTCACCTGAATATTATCTTCTCTCCAGTTCTTGGTGTTGAGTACATTAATTCCAAGACCTGGCACTTCTTGGTACCAGCAAACCCATGTGGTTAATCTTACTGTGCCTCCCATAAAAGGCAATACTTAACAGTATGGATTTACAGGAAAAGCCTTCAAGGCTATGGAGTAGCGAAAAGTTATTGGTAACACTAATGTACACTGAACTAAAGTAAAATCTCTTGTTCATTTCCTAGGTGATGATGACCAAACGGACAAAAGACATGGGCAAGTTCAGTTCAGTCACGGTCTCCACCATTGATGAAGAGGAGGAGGAGATTGAAGCAGTGAGTTTTCTTTGCCCTGCTAATGCCAGCAAGATACCAAGTTACACAGGGGTTTTGTTGGGACACCAAATCTAAGTTCTCCAGAAGTTTCTTGTCTGAATGACAACACTTTCAGTTTAATTCCATTTTAGCCTTTCAGTCTGATCCATACATAAGGGAAGTCCATTATTCATCACTTAGAAGATTTGAATTTCCCCATGGAAGTTCAGTCAAACAGAATGCTCAGTTATCCAAGTATTTATGTTACGCTCTTCACCATAGTATCTGGCTACCTGAACGTTTCTGTGGCTAATAAGATTCATGCCACAGGCATGGATCATCCTACCAATACTAGTGAGATGGGTATCTTCTAGCACAAGCTAACAAATAATGCTAGTGAGTTACTATGCAGTAGCCATCCTCTCAGCAGTATTCTCGGAGGGCTCCTTAACTTACTTTTCCCTATGTGCAGCAATTTGAGGGGAATTGTGACCTCATTCCTGCTTCTCCTTCCTTGTCATTCTCCTCCGTTTATTTTGCATTCTGCAATGCTCTTGGTTGAAATAAATAGATGATCTCAAGTCAGGTGTATTCAGATTGGTTAAGACTGCATATAGATAAGCAGGTAATTAATATATTAAACATGCAGGTGACCGTCTCCTCATATGGTAATATTAATAGTCTTCCATCTGGTAACACAGACTCCTTTAGCCGTTCTGATCTCCCCTGAACTGCCTCTGCCATGATGTTAATGAAGAGACCTGGTCCAGAGCACACATTACATATCAACCTACCTTGATTGCATTTTGCGTGTACCAGCCAGAACATCATGGTGATGACTAAAATTGGCCAGTGACTTGTGGTCCTGATTCTTTACTTCCTGTTCTAAGCTGTTGTTACCATGCACTTTAAACAGCAGGCATGCTGCACCCTAGAGGTGACTGCATTTCAGTGGCAGGAGAAATTATCACTTTATAGTTTGCCTGTCAACCTGAAGCATTTTGAGATCTGTTGGCAGGACAGAACACTGTGTAGAGATATAGCAGCACAATGGCGATCTTTTCACAGGTGCAGGCCCCACACTAAAGATGGGTAGTGCTCACATTGTCACTCACGTTCCTGCCCATCTCACTTATGAGCTCAGTGAGGCAGTGCAGTTCTGGCCCACAGTATAACACAGGGACGCTGTCTATTTTTCAGCGAGAGATTGCAGATTCCTATGCGCAGAACGCTAAAGTGATTGAAAAGCAGCTGGAACGCAAAGGCATGAGCAAAAGGAGGCTGCAGGAACTGGTAAGTCGGTTTTGTTTTCAGTGCATTGTTGCTGCAACTGTATCTTTGGGGTGTCCAATTCCCTTGGGTCTGTTGGCAGGATACATAAGCAGCAGGGGTGTCCAATTCCCTTGGGTCTGTTGGCAGGATACATAAGCAGCATATCTTAATACCCTACGGTGGGTTTACAGAGTTCACATGCAGCTTTGGGGGTGGGCGGTTGTTACGCTTAACAGTCCAAATTATTTATGCTTTGTATTTTTAACTTGAATTGAAAAATTTATTAAATAATAATATAAAGAAAATCCACACAATTATTGTAGGTTTTCCCCCAGTGATGTAAGCTCCTGTTGTTAGACATCTCCTCATAGGACGGGTAGGAGAGGTAAAATATGGTGAAGACTGTACAGAGATTTTCTCTAGTCCTCTAAAATTGAAGATAATAGAAAATTATATATAGACCTACTCAAAAAGGGTAGTTTATAAGACACTGGTGCAACCAGGGCAGCCTCTGTAGCCAGTTAGCCCATGAATGGTCCGATCAGAGCTGGGGGAAATTACCCCAGAACTTGAGCAACAGAATGTGCCTTACATTGTGTCCTCAAGCCTGCCACGCTCAGGCTTTAGCATAGGCTACAACAGGGAGTAAGTTACAGAAAGGAGGGCCTGCCAGTGTAGTAGCTCTGCTGCTGGTCCTGTAAAGGTCAACTTAGAAACCAACAGTAAGAACATGCTCGGTTATCTTAATATGGCGACAGGCTTATAGAAGTTGGAGATGGGAAAGATTTACTAGATTATCTAGCTCACCTTCCTGCCAGTGCAGGATATAAAGTGTGAAATGGCCTCTTCTGTAACTAGTACCAGACCATTTGGGGCTTCAAAGATTGTAATCCACCTTCTGATTTGCACCCAGAAGCAAAGAGGGTAGTGAATGAAGAGCCTTGAAGCGTTTTGTTCTTCACTTAGATGACAGGTGGCTGCATGCTGCATTAGTAATGTCCAGATCAGAAGATCATATCTCAGAGTGCTGGAGAGAAAGTTACTCATGATGATGCTCTTGTGTAGAGTTTTCATTCTGTCCCAATTTTTCTAATCAGGCTGAGCTGGAAGCCAAGAAAGCCAAGATGAAAGGAACCCTGATAGATAATCAATTCAAATAAGAAGAATCCACATCAGATCATGCCCAGGCAGCTGAATATTTGGAGAGGGAGGAAAACCAACAGCAACTCCTGAGACTCCAACAGAGAATTCAATCAACCCCGCAGACCTTAAGTACAACTTTTAAGAGCTATGCGTCGAAACCAGCTTGGAAGGTGACACTGTCTCTGCCACAGACTGTACTTTGATCTCTGGTATTTTAATATACTGAAGGACTTCAAAAACTTTTTTAAAATTACAACTTCTGTGCACACTCAAGTGTTTTGCCTATCTTGTTGGGGTGATATCTGTTCCAGAGGAAACCCCTCTGCCAGGTGTGTGTATGGGATTAAGACACTGTTACAAAAGATCAGTGTGTTATTTTCAGATGTACATAAAATTCCAGTAAATACCTTAGATGTGTAGGTAAAGCAATAATCTATGTACAGCAAATAAATCCTTATAAAGTAAGTTGTCCATGTTCTTATTTAAAAAACAATTCTTCAAATCATGCAGTATATACAAAGGGAATTCTCACCCTAGCACAAGCTAGAATGGTAATAATCTACCCAAACCTTCAACATGTTTACTTAACTGAAAATCTTCACTTAATAGACTGGAAACAAAGTCCCATGATGCAACACGATTGGTAAGCAGTGCATCTTTATAAACTCCCAGCTGAATTCTTTTAAGATCATAGGAATTGCTGGGTTCCCAGCACTTTTGAAAACTAGGCCATTTGAATGCCTGACTAAAGGTACTTAAGAGTCCCTACTTTTGAAAGTCGGAAAACAGGGGTGATCAAAAAGTTTTTAAATCCAATTGTAACAACAAAGCCCGTGGTACAGATGTGGCAGGGTGAAGTCCAAACCTATCTTAGATGACTGAAAACAAAAATTGGATCTACACCACCAACAATGCCTTCTTTAAACTAAGGAATGCAAATATAAATATCCTGGGACTAATAAATGAAATCCATTGACAACCACTTTAACTTGAATAGTACTTCTGTCTCTAAAGTAGAAGCCATCTCCTGCCCAAAATGTGATTAGTACTTAGACTTATAATGAAGAATAAAGGGATAGGAAGGAAATTTAGAATGTAATTACTATTAAATCTGCACTGAAAAGACAATAAGAATTCATATATAATCAGAGTTTCAGGCTAGAAGGGACCACTGGATCATCTAGTCTAAACACCTATATACACAGGCCACCAAAGCCATCCAGCACCTACACACTAAACCCAACTACTGGAATTAGACCCAAGTATCAAAGTTCACAGGAGACTAAACTATTATGCGCCACAGGGAGAGAATAAGAGGAACCAACGTGCACCAATGTCAAGGCCCCTGCAATGTCAGGGAATTGATTAGGTGAGATATAGCCACAAAAATCCTGGCAAGTGACCTGAACCCATATGCTGTGAGGAAGATGAAAACTCTCCAAGGTCATTGCCAGTCTGACCTGGGGGAAGAATTACCACCTGACCTCAAATAGGGTGATCAGTTAGACTCTGAGCATTTGAACAAGAACCAGCCAAGCAACAGAGAATGCTCAATGCTGCCTCAGAGCCCTGGCCACCCAAGCCAATGTGCCATCTCCAGCCACGGCCCCCTCTGATGCTAAGAGGAAGGAGACCAACAAAAACCCCTCTGCTGGTTAGAAACCTTCTAATTTTCAGCCTGAATTTGTTCATGGCTAGTTTTGTGCCAACTTTGTCCTATAGTTTAAATAGCTCTTCACCCTCCCTCTTGTTTATCCCCAATGTAGTTATAGAAAGCAATCATATCCCTTCTGTCTTCTTTCTGCTAGGCTAAACAAGCCGAGCCCTTCCCATCTCCTCTGCAGGTGGGATAGATAGGCCCTCCATTTCCCCTATCATCCCAGTAGCTCCTCTCTTCCCCTGTTCCAGTTTGAATGCATCTTGCTGAACGGGAGTGAGTAGAATTGTACACACGATCCCAGATGAGGTCTTACCAGTGCCTTGAACGATGGTGTTAATACTTCTCCATGGTTCTGGAAATGCCTTGCCTGATACAGCCAAGGATCGCATTTGCTTTTTCCCACAGCTGTACCACATTGGGGCTCAGCCAGTTTGTGAAACCCCCAGCTTGTAGCAAAAATTTGTATTAGCCCCAGCGGCATGCACAAGGTGGGGGCAAGTAGGGGCCTGCCCCCCCATAATCTGCAGGGGCACAGAACTCCTCTGGCCAGTGGGGAGAGCGAGCTCCTTCGGCCCTGGCAGCAGGAACTGACAGCTCCTCTGGCCCTGGGGCTGCAGCCAGGGCACAGAACATGCCTGTCCAAAAGGACTCAAATTTTTATTCCTGTGCACGCTCCTGATCTGAAGCCTGTTTCAGAGGCTCATTAGTTAGAAAACAGCAGGGTTGTTGTGTGTAATAGATGGAGAGGGCAAGAGAAGTAGTGACTGGGTGGAGCTGTACTAAGGACACTGGTTTTACAAAGGAGTCAGAGAACTTGTCTGATTGTGGTACCACAGTCCAACCAGCAGAGGGCCTCACTGGATACAGTCAATAAAACTGAAAGAAGGGTGTCCTAGACTAGTGATTCTCAACCAGAGGTCTGCATACCCCTAGGCGTATGGAGAGGTCTTTTGGGGGTACATCAACTCATCTAGCTCTTTGCCTCTTTTTGCAACAGGCTACATAAAATGCACTAGCGAAGTCAGTACAAACTAAATTTTATACAGACAATGACTTGTTTATACTGCTCTATAGACTATAGGCTGAAATGTAAGTACAATATTTATATTCCTGTTGATTTATTATATAATGATATGGTGAAAGTGAGCAATTTTTCAGTAACAGTGCAGTGTGACACTTTTGTATTTTTAGGTCAGATTTTATAAGCAAATAGTTTTTAAATGAGGTGAAACTTGGGGAATGCAAGACAAATCAGACTCCTGAAAGGGGTACGGTAGTCTGGAAAGATTGAGAGCCACTGTCCTAGACTTTTGGCTTTGGAGTCAGTGTCCTTTCCTGACCTCAGCAAGATAGAAGAGTGCAGAATCAGAATGTCACTTACTCAAAAGAGTTCTACTGAGATAAGGAAACATACAGTTCAGTCTCTTTGTCCTTTGAAGATCTGAAGATGTCTTATCACATTTCTCCACTGCAGGCCTGTCCCACTGCATGTTTGGACTTAGGCTGCTGAAAACCAGAGAACGTTTCTTCCATGTAGGAGCCAGGGATCGGAAATTGCTTTTAAAACTAAAAATCATTCTTATTCAATACGATTACAGTCTGGTCACCGATGTCATCTGGGATGCTGAATTTAATTTAGTCTATGGTTGGCACTAAACATGAAGCCTGCTCCTGCTCCCACTAAAGTCAGGCGGGTATGCATCACAAATTCTGGGCCTTGCATCAGTACAGTTCACAAATACGTTGTATGGATGAAGGAGACCGGCAACAGGCACTCTGTTATAATACACCCTTGCACGTTGTTGGGTCAAATCCCATGTCTAATTAGGTCTACTCACCCCAGAAGGATTTAAATTACTTAATTTTTTCCCAAATCTAAAGGCAATAGGATATCATGGTGATGTGATCCCTGTGCCAGGGTCAGGAAATCTTGTGTTCCAGTCCCAAATCTAGCACTGAAATAAAAAGTTACTGTTTCCATGGAACTTCTCAGGTTCCAATAACAATTTTCTAATGCTCATCAATCCCAAGATATTCAAATAAACAAGAATTTATTTTCTTTCAGAGCGCTTGTAAAGGCCAGTTTTTGTTTATTTGACACACAAAGCTCTGTAAAGCTCTGTGGAGGGTGCTGTAAAAAACTGACCTGGGAATGAGCTTACGCATTGGGGATAGTACATTGACCTTTTGCTCTTGGAAATCAGCGTCCATTGATTAAGAAGAGAACTGGACGGCAGGAAAAGCAGATTCTGTTCCCAGTTCCACTGCTGACTGGCTGTGAGATCCCGGGGAATTTTCTTCACTTCTTTGTGCTGCAATGTCCTCATCTGTAAAACACTTGCCCACCTTTGTCAAGTGCTTTAGTGCTATATATGTCCTGAGTATAATTATTAGTGTTACATTCTGCCTTAGGGGGTGTCTGCACACACAAGTTGTTCTGTTTTACCTATTCTGGGCCTATACCCCCTAGCAGAGAGACAGTTATATTGGTAGGAAGGTGCTGTACACCAACACAGGAAGGGAATAAGGCCTTGTCTATACTAGGATTTGTCTGGTATAGCTCATAGCATAACCTCTACAGGAGTGTAAGCGAAGTTATATCAGTATCACTGTGTCCCCACTAGGGGTTGTGCTGATGTACGTGTGACGTTCCCCACACTAGTACAAAATGTGTGTATGGACCAAGGAGAATCTGCGGGGGGCGGGGGGAACTAAGCTAATTTGCACCCTCACCAAACAACCGCACAATCCCTCTCAATGAGCAGAGCCGCAGGGGACATTTCAGGTCAGGCATGTGCTAGGCAATGTCAGTGTAACTCCTCCTCCTGCCTGGCTGATCCAGGGACTGTCAGTGGAGGGGTTAAGGTTGTCATGCTGTTGGGAAGCCACTCCCCACTGGGGAGTCAGCATTCACAGCTGGGCGGAAGGAGGGGCCACTCCCTCCTCTTGCGTATGCAGCTCTGTTAATGTCCTAAGAGGAAGGATTTTGCAATGGGTGTTTCAATGAGATATTTGAAACTTCCGTGGTTGTCTCCAGCTGACAAGCCTGCCAATAAACTTCAGCTCAGACGCAGGACAGCGACAGGGAGCCCTGAGCTCAGTCAGGACCGCTGCAGGTGTCTGAGCAAACTGTGGCTGAGCAAACCAACGCATCTCATGCTTGTTAGTCTCTTTGTGCATGTTCAGGAGCCCCCAGGTGTGTGCCATGTTGGAACTCCCACAAGAGGTCAGCAAGCCTTGCAAACACTGCGCCTGCGAGGAGTGGCTGAAATGACACACAACTGACGGTGGAGCCCTAGCTAATATAGTGA